AATCCTCAGCAGAAGAGATACATACAGGTATCCTCACCTTTGAACTTTGATCGCTATGTAGAGGAGATGGATCATGTGCTGGACACAAATCTGATTGCACATAAACCACTATTATGAAGGTATCATAAATACCCTTAGCTTTCTTTGGTCATTGTCCTCCAAAGACTATCACACTTAGATATTTGTTCTAATTGATCCAATTACACTGATATATAGGTTAACTGATAGGTTGTACTTCTCTCAGTACAGTACAGCCAGAGTGGGGTGAATTTGGCTGTACTATTAAAAATGTTTTATTTTTCACTTTCTGAAAAAGATGTCATGACAGGGAGCCTGAGGCCCCTGTTAGTTAAGGGAAAAGTGCAGTGGGCTAGCCTTGTGGTAGGGAGGTAGCCAGCTGCACTGCAACAAGCTTTCTGTGTGTAGAGTTACCATATTTCTGTGCTCCAAAAAAGAGGACAGCTGTTGCGGGGCAGGGGCTTATCTGATTGTGGGGGGCAGTGATATACCAGTGCCCTGCCCCTGCCCAGTCTGTTGCCCCTCACCCCCACGCCAAAGCTTTCCACTCCCCCAGCCCTGCTGCTGTCTCTCACTTCCAACCTACAGTACCCTGCCCTCTGGACCATGCTGGTGCCCCCTCACTCCCAACCTGAAGCCCCCCCCACCATCTCTGCTGGTGCCCCTCACTCCTGACCCATAGCCCCTTGGTGCTGCTAGTGCCCTGTATTCCTGACTCACAACCCCCTGCTTCCCCCAACCCTGCAGCGACTCCCAGCCACCCCGCCCCTGCAAGCAAGGGCACGGGCACACTGCCCACTGCCACCAAAGGGCACTCCCCCACACCTTTACACTGATGGAGGGGCAGGCACCTTCCCTGCCCTGCTGATGCCCCAGCACCTGGACATCTTTCCCCAGCACTGGAAGGCACCCACCACCCCTCACACCCCCATCCCCTCCACACACCCTGATACACACACACTCCCCAAATCCTGGCCCTACAACCCCCACTCCCCATCAACTTACCTACACCCAGGGCTGCTCCTACCACCCTGCCTGGCTGCATGCCATCCCCATGCATGTGCACCCTGCCTCCAATTGCACTCCCCTCCACAACTTCTCCTAGCCCCAAGCAACTCCTTGATAGGGCAAGCCAGGAGATGCTGGAATAAACATTGATGCTGAGCAGAGCAAAATCCCACACATTCAATCATATTTAAAAAAACTGCCTGGACAGTGATCAGAAGATCTGAAAAGAGGACAAGTCTAGGAAAACCTGGATGTATAGTAACCCTAGCTATGTGGGGCTAAGTCCCAAACAACCCAAGAGAAAAGGCTGCAAGCAGCTGGGTCAAGGTGCAACAGGGAGGGGCCCATTACGCCCAAAGAGAAACCCCTATGCTTAATTAGGAAGTCAACTGACCAGAAGGGGCAGTGCTCCAGGGCATATAAACCCAGCACATGCTGCAGGGCTGGCAGTTTGGCCCTGGAAAGAGAGGGGCTGAAAGAGACAGCCTAACAAGCACCGAAGACACCCATGAGAGCTCAAAAGGGACGTAGTGCTTGCAGGACAACATATACCCAGACTGGAGAAGACTGTTTGAAACCAGTTACTTGTTTTTGTGTTGTGTTTAAGTTGATACTGGAGGACCAGGTTGTGGCTACAAAAGCAACCCAGAGGCCACAGGAGCACCTGAGAGGCACCCTGCATAGATCCCTGACCCCTACAGGTCTCATAAAGAGGTTGAATGATATGAAAACAGCCTGGCTTAGGTCAGGAACCCAGAAGGCTGAGTGGTACACAAGCAGCCTTGCCTGAGTAAGGGACCCCAGGGGCTGAAGGGCTCATTAAGCATGACAGAGCTGGGACCCAGAACCTGAGTTCTGGAGCACTGAACCTAGGCTGAGCAGGGCACAACCGGAGAAAAGGGGCTGAAACCAGGAAGGCTCAAACCCCAACAAAGGCTTGAGGCCTGAAGAGGCCAAGTGTCATGGTGATCAAGCACCATCTGTGAGGCATGGGTGTGGCTACAGGGGAGGACAAAGGCCACAAATACAGCCAAGGCGCTGGAGCCCCAACATAGTGACAGGGCCAAGAGGGCCACAGTTTAGTTCCCTAGGGGAAAAACAGACTGGCTGGTTGAGGACCTGAGGTTCACTTTGGGACCCTGGGGCAACCTCCCTATACTCTGTAAGAAACATCAAGGCTTGGCAAGCAAGGTAAAAAGCAGGGAAGTACCCTGAGGACCCAGAGTGGGGCAGGAACCATGTGGCCACCAGGGAGTGCTGCAGCCATTCCAGCAACCCAGGTCATGCTACAGATGTTTTTAAAGATATAACACGTATGAGGAAGAAGCTTAAATCCTTAAAATACATCAGATTTAGTCCTGGCCACTTTGATCATCTCAAGACTGTATGAGCAGGTCTTAGCTGGCATAATATGGAAGCAGTCTCAAAACTAGATGCAACTACAAATTTTTTCCAAGCTGGCAGTCCTAGAACAGCACTAAAACATGCAAAGGTTTGTTCTTTCTCTTCTCTTTACAAGAGGAACAAGATGGTACACAGAAATTCTGTAACCTAATAGAATTTCAAAGCTTAGAGCTATTATGGCTTTATGATACCACTAAATAGCATGTGCCATGTTGAATGAAGAAATGTTTGTTTCTGCATCTGATAAACATGCTTTGTATTTCTCTCTCTGTGGCATGCCCACAGATATTAGGACATAGTAAATACTGATGAAATTTTCATTTTAAAATGGATTCTCTCTGGGACAGTAAGAAGTTTTCTGAAGTAAGAGTTCAAAAGTCTGTACAGATACAGCCCTCTATCTTAGCAATGTAACTCTACTCAGCATGAATTTAAAAAGGAAACTCTCAATGTACATTTGTGTACAAAAAAGACACCTGTGTATCAAGGAAAACCACCAGGAATGTTCACAAAATAAAAAAATCCAGGGAAAAAGGCAGTTATTAAACAAATCAACATACCTCTATAACTCCTGAAATACAAATACTGAATCACTAAGAACCCAGAAGCATAAGTGACAGGGTGGATCAAAAGATGTCCACCTGCACTCCACTTTGATTCCCATTCCACCCGAAGTATAAAACCAACTGCCTGGCAATGGCAGCAATATTTCTGTTCAGGCAAAAGTAATGGAGTCGGCTGAGATCCTGGCTCATTATAATACATGCAATTCCTTCTAGACTCTCCATTCCCCACATGTTAAATGATGCCCCCCCACCTTTTTTTTTTTTTTAATTGTCCCACTAATCAAGCTATCCTTTGTTCTGCAATTCTGCTGTCTGTTAGATGATCCTGGTAATTTGGCTCATGTTTCACAGCCCTGCAGACCGCTTTTAACGCTCACTAGAAACATTAACTCAGGTGTAGAAGTACTGCATGCACTGTCAAGATGCTCAAGAAGGCTAGATTTTATTTAATGAATCTGAAAGGGATGTGCACTTATTTCTAATGACTAGAGGGCAAATTAAACCTCTTTTGATTGTTTTTGCCTGGTTTGTTCTGTTTTTATATATAATACACGATATAGCAAATGTATGCACAGTCCAGTGTAGTTCTATTTATTTTTGCTTCAATCTTAAACTGAGTATTATAACCTGAGGCCCCTAGCCTATTAGTAAAATTTCTAGTTTCTTTTTAACCAGAGAAAAATGTGTGTTGCAGTAATTTGCCACACTATCTGTACCCATCTTTTCTAAGTCCTAGATCTGCATATAATAAACGACTATAAACACAAGATTAGAGAAACAATGCCTTTCTCTATTTTCATTTTCTGGTAAATTACTTCAGCAATTGCAGGAGAAATCAATAGCAACAACTGAATTTCCAAAATTAGTATGCAATTCATAATGTCATTAATAGTAATTGTAAGGAGATTTGCTTATAACATGTGGGTCCAGGCCTCAGCAAATGTAAATCAATGGAACTATGCCAATAGTTACACTAACTTAGGGCCAGCCCATGATTTCTAAACGGGCTGAATCCCTTTAGGCCTTTTACAGCTGTAAAAACTCTTCAAGGCAGTGACCCTGGGTGAAATTGTGGTTCCAATAAAAATCAACCTCCTACTGACTTCAGTGGGGCCATGCTTTTGCCCCTTTTTCCTCCCTTCTGGGAAATATCTATCAAGCAGGCCTTTGGTGACACACATGCATGACTGAGCTTAGTGGGCTAACTTTTCATTCTAACTATGCAAAACTATTTTAATAGCAAATGACTGGATTTGTTTCCCTTATTCTTTTCCGTGTAGCAAGGCAACTCAGGACTTGGCTATGTCAGCCCACCAGGGATGCTTTCTGTTTCTGAGTTTCACCAGGGTTACATACAGCCTAGGAATTAAGAACTTCTCTAATCCCTAGGAGCAAGGTTAAAATGTTGTTGTGATCTGAGAAGCAACTCCAAAATGGTTTACTCCATGTATGCTATGTACTAGGTCTTTCTTTTTCCAGATGAAAAATGCAAGCAATTGCTTCCTCTAAACAGTCAGCCCAAATGAAAGTAAAGTTGGACTCTTTCTGGCTTATCCTCCAGTGATGGTAATAACCATTCTACAAATGAAACTTCAATAAAACTCCCTTGATGATACACAAGCTGAAATAGAATCCAACTCCCTTAACAGTATTGGCCCTGCAGTGTTTAAGACCTGTATAAAAAACAAAAAAATTAAAAAAAACCCCACAAGCCAATGACACACATTTTATCAGTTAAAACGAGCAAAAAGAATTCAGAAAACATACTGTCAACTAACTGTTGGAATAAGAAAGTTGTCACTTCCACTATGTCACTTTTTAACTATGGTTAAAAATATAATTTGGATAAAGATCAGATTATACTTCTTTACTTTTTGTCCCATTGTAGAGCTAACCAAAAGTAATGCAGAGAAACAGACCTGCTTCCATTTGCTATTTCTGGCTATAGCAGTGCTATCAGACTCAAACATGATACCCAGATGCAATGATTTATTGTACAGGTATTCACCAATAGGTGCAGAGTACTGGGTCCCCATGCACACGAAACCCATAGATACACGTATAGTTTGGGTGACCCCAGTTGCTCAGAACTCTCAGCTGCAGGTATCCAAAGTGCTCCAAGTTTGCAACCTGTGGAAGGGGAATAATAAGACATATAAGAGTATGTTTGCTTATTGTCCAAGGATGCTTTTCCAATAGCCTCTTTTCCCTTATGCACAGGTGTAAGTGGTGCCCAGGAAGCAAGAGGCTTAGCTGGGTTTAAAGTAATATGTCCCTTATTTTGCTGCCCTTATATGCCCTACTCAACTTCCTCCAGACCTACTTTAACCCCATATATGGAAGAAACATAGTGATAAAGATGGAACTTCCCAGTATCATTTGATTCTGTCCTTTCAGCTGGTTATGGTGATGCTGCCTATACAACTATCTTGATTCAACTCACTAGGGGTCTGCCTGAAAAACAGGCAGAAAAATGAAGTATTAGTAACACCTAAGAGTTACTAAGGAACCGTGCCAGAAATTTTATCCTTGATCTTTTGAGCTCCACATTCCTTCCAGCCTACAAAACTGGATTGACTAGTGATGACCAAGTCCTGAAAACACAGGAAAAGGGAGATCTAGTGCCAGAGAGAGAATGAATGAGATATGGGAGACCAGGTCAGAGGAGTCTGGAGACATCTACATGCAGGTCTACTCAACATCATGGGATAGTAGGACCATAGGTAAACCAGAACCACACATTGTCTGATTGCTCTTTCTAATTCTTTGTTTTTACTGTTAAATAAAACTTTAAGACTGCTTGGTCTCTCAACTCCTGGTCACTAAGTTTCAGAATGAAAACTACAAGTACTTTGAACTCAGCACAAAACCCAGTTATGCATTGGGTATGTGAACAAGTTACTAAACAAGCTAAATGAACACAAGGATTTACAGCATCAATAATTCTGTGGTAGCTATCTACACCCACATTCCTACCTCATGGTAAATAAAGGCTAACCCACAGTAGTTTACTTCCTTTTTTCATTAAGGGGTAAAAGGAAGAGGACTAAGTTACTGCAAGTTAGTTTTTACACACAACAGGGTAAAAACATGCGCATAAGCAGTTACTACTGAGCAGCCAGCGTGCTATAAAACCTCACTGTGTTTTACCTCAAAGTAACTTCTCCCCTTGTCCTAGGAGTGAAAGAATTGAAAAATTCCACCTAAGAACGGGTAAGTGCCTGGGGCTTAAAACCACTGGGGGTGCACTCTGTCCCCTTTGTGGTCTCTCAGAGGTGCCCTAAAACCAGGATAAGCCTGTTTTGAACATAATGGCTCTATAATAGGAAGCAATATTATAGTCCCAGTTTGAATGCCAAAGCGTACCTCCAGCTTGAACATTTGGTTAGGGGAGCCATCCTTATCATAGACAAACTCCCCTAAAAAGGTTCTTTCCTCTTCAAAATCTTCTTTCATTCCCTGAAAGGATAAACAATAAAGGGATTTATTATCAGTAATGCCAAGGCTGGAGGTGATAATAGCATCTATAGTCTAGAATATTATGTCTCAAAACCCAGAGTATACTGGGGGCACAGTGGGAAAGACTCAGATTCATTAACCAGCTCCCTGAAAGAATCAGCAAAGGTTGGTTTTGCTATAAAAGGTAAGGAAGTAACTCACATAGATGGCAAAATTCTTTGGAGCACTGGTTATCTCTTCTGTCAGAGAGTCTGTCTTAGAAATATGATCCAATGCCACAACAGCAGGACAGATTACTTTGGACAGCTTAACCACAACGTACCCTTGAGATCCATGCAGCGCCCAGCAATTCCCAGGGCTATCATCTCTCTGGAATCCAAAACACAACATAAAGTAAGTGTCCATATTTTGGAAAACAAAATGATTCCATATTGAAAGCAAATGTTTCTTGTGACAAAGGAGTCCAAAAATACGAGTGCTATGATGGGTAAGTATTTGCTGGAGTAGAAGGGTTGCTGGCATTTTTAACAATGTTGATGGGAGTCTCTCTAGAAGTGCTGAAAGTGCCAACAGCCTGCCACATTTGGGCTTTCAGCACTGCTAACACTGGTGGATCTGAAGTACTCTTAACCATGCTGGGAGTTTTTAAGCAAATCTCATTAAAGCCTGTAAGACTTTAAGTGCATAGGTACATGACTTTTCCATCCTCAGTGCCTATCACATAAATTGCCTTGGATGGTTAGGCCTACTATAAAATGAAGTTGAGGATGCTTTGTGAACAGCTATCAGAAATTCAGACTGAAGTAAATATTACTAGCCAGGTTCCCTGTGGAATTAGCTGAGGCAGACTGACACTTTAGTGATCTGGCTCGTTGGCACCGGCTGTGGCAATTTTAAGCTTGAGTTCCATTTTTGGGTCTGACAATTTAGTATGAATGTCAAAACTTTTTACCCACCCTCATAGCAGAAGTAGGCTAGGCTGTGCTGTGCTGTAAAGTTGTCACCGATTCAGCTACACTCTGAATATATGCAAATCTTGTGCAATGTGAATTCAGTGAGACAGATTTGTGTTAGACCCAGTCAGTTTGGCCTCAGCCACTTCCTATTTTAACTCAATAGTGGGGTTAGCCACTCATCCAGTTATTTTTTAAAATAATTCTTCATTTACTGGCACAAAATGAAAAGCATAGTTTAAAAAAAAAGACACTGAGCTGCTTTCCCAAAAAACCTGTTTTTAAATGTCAGTGTGTGGTTTTCATCACTTTTCAAAATTTAAGTATTTAAAAAACAGGAAATGCATGGTTAAGGACACTACAGCTCTCATACACATGTTCTTATCAGATAAGAAATATGTACTTCATCACAACAACCTTAATTCAGAACAGCAATAATGGAAGTAGGCAGGTAATGTTATCACAATTCAATGTAACAAACTTTTCTGGTTGTATTACACACATAAGGTTATTCTCAAAAGACACCAATTATTGGCATTGTATCAGGTTCATTCAGTATTACTCCCAAGACTATATATAGATTCTGAAATCAAATCAGCTTACTAAAAGCAGCACATTGAAATAGTGCAGCGTACAATAGTAAGAACTAAGGATGTTGAGTTGGTTAATTTCACATTTCTTTCTTATTAAACTAATTTTGCTTTTCTTGTGACAGGATCAGAGACCAGGGGTGGCCAGGGTACCGCCCCTTGTTAACCACTCAACCCCTGCCCCCGACTCCAGCTCCCCAAGGTACCCTCCATTTCTACCTCGCCTACACGCTTTGATGTTATTTATAAGGTTTCAAAAGGCTGCCTGAGGGGCCCAGAGTGGGCCCAGTCTAGCTCCACCTTGCCCCTTGGGACACTATACTATAGTCCTCCCAGCCCTATTAGTGCCTCAGGATACCAGTTGTCTTACAGGCTATTCCAGGGGTTGTCAACCAGGGGTACGCATACCCCAGGGTAGTTGTGAAGGCCCTAAAGGGTACGCACTGATGGACAGGGACAGAGCACTGCCATGCATCACCCTGTGCCACCGCCTCCCAGGAGCAGGGCCAGTGGGGTGCAAGGACAGTGGCACCCCTCTGCAGGCCACACCAGCACCAGCCAGCCAGCCAGATGCAAAAGAGGGAGGAAGCTCACACACAGCAACCGCTGCCGCCACCCACCACTCCACGCTGCTGCCACTCCGTCAAATGTATGATGTTACACTGTCATATTAACAGACTTACCTGTTTTTATTCATTTCATTTTGAATAAAGTAAAAGATTGCTCTAAGAAATTCTGCTTTGATATGATTCAAACCTGTCCTAGCATTTACATTCATTTCCTTTTGACCCTGTCTAAAGATATTTGAGTGGGTTTGCTATTTATCTTCCACCTTGCTGTCAAGACACAAGTTAGCAGGCTCTCCATTTCCCTAGCAACTGTTAGTGACATCACAAACACAAAGTGGCTCAGAGAGATGCCTACAACCTACACGCCTCAGAGAGATGCTACATTCAATGCAGGTGTGATATTCTAGGATAGGAGAATTGGCTGGCTGCCTCTTCTTCTCTACCAGTGTGCCTGCCTAGCTATAAATAGAACTTCTGAGATTAATTTAAAACACCCTTGAGGCCGCATCCCTTTTCAATGGTAGGGGTGAAGATAATCTCTCTCTCTTTCCACTCATATCCCAATCTTCAGGCTGGTCTGCTAAGGAATGTTTTTAAAGTAATATTCATATTTGGCCCTGGGATAGCTGTCAACATTCAAAGACCCAGCAGCAAGTCTTGCTTCTATTTATATTGCTGTTGCTAATATAAACATCTGGTTTAATCTGTACATCAGTTTAGTCTGCTGGAGAAGTATGGTTTGCCTCTTACTTTCCAGAAAAAATGTACCTTTGCTAAATCATCAGAAGGATGCTTTAGGGAGTGGGGAAGGGAGGAGCAAACCCATAGAAGATGACAAAGATACATAGCTTCATGGCATTCTTACCTGGAGAATCACATCTGGAGAGCGGACATATTCCCAACAAAATGTAAACAAACAAATAAATGCTCCTGTCCTATAGCTTTCACTGTGTTTCACAATACAAGCACCTGCAAAAAATACAGATTTGGTTAAGGAAGTTTTCTCCTTCCAGAAGTACTAGATGCATAATGAACAACTCCAAAATATAACAACCCCCTCAACTACACAATGTGTACAAAACAGATGCATAGTTATTCCCTAGTGCAGAGGTTTCCAAAATGTCCCCTGCAGGCCACCTGTAACCTGCAAAGCATTTGTTTGCAGTCGACAAAGTTAATGGCAGCCATCTATATTAAAACTAGCCCCTCAGCAAGGCTGTAGTCATTGACAGTTCAGTAGTAACAAACTGACAAACCTTAGCAGCAGCCCTATGGTCCCATGAATTTAATGATGCTAAATCACTGGTGGCCAACCAGTGGCTTGCATGCCACAAGTGGGACAGGGCATATTTGATACACAAGCTCTAGACACAGAGTTAAAGGGCAGTAGGAGTTGGGGTAGCATGGGGATCGGAGCAGCACTCAGGGAAAGGCAATGGTGATCAAAGTGGCAGTCAGGAAGGGGACAGAAGCAGAGGGTCAGTACTGACGTAAGCATGTGGACCCAGGGGAATCCATGGAATTCTGTTGCCTCTGGGACAAGACAACACTGAACTCAACAGCACTGGACAACAGTGGTGGCTGATTATTAGGGTGCCATTATCCTTTACTTTGGACTTAACTTGTGGCACAGTTGCATAAAGGGTTGGCCAACACTGTGCTAACCTCCCCGCTGTGCTAGTCTCCCCACTGTGGACCACCCCCACCCCCGGGTCGACTGGCTGCTGGGGGGCCCCCCCCCCCCCCCGGGGCCGCCTGGCCCCGGGGGCCCCCCCCCCGCCACTCGCTGATTGGCTGCTGGAGGACTCCACCACTCATTGACTGGCCACCAGGGGACTCCTTCCTTCTCAACCAGCCTCCGGGGGTACATTGACCCAAAAAGATTGGAAACCCCTGTCCTCGGCTTTAGCTATGTAAAGCACATTATATTACCTCTGCTAAACAAAGGGATGACACCGCAGATTAATTTTGTTACATGACCCCACCCAGCATAGTGTCTCATTCATTAAGTGGCCCTCCCTATACAAAATTTTGGGAACCCTTGCATTCATGCATACAGAAAATAGATGTTGTGGTCCAATTTTGAGATAGACCTTGCAGCCATACTAACAGATAACATGCTTATACATATCTTCCAATGAGATACAAGGATTATCCCTCACTACAGAACAGTAGGAAGGCAGAGCAAAGAGTTTTGTACAACTGAACATTTTTACTTTAATTTGGTTTACCTGATGACTTCAGAGCAAAATCCTCCCTGTGAATGGGATCATTGCCATGTATCCAACTTCTCACGGACCCTAATGGATACTGTGAAAGAGATACAATGCTAGGGAACTCTGTACAGAATCAGAGAGAGGCATTTCCAAGACTCCATAACTAGCAGTATGGTGTAAGTGCCACTAATTTGCCTCTTTGCTCAAACATGCCACAAGGAGGTTAGGGGACTGAATATTTCATATGCCCTGGACCTTGTCCAATGTATAGGTGTATTCCAAGATAAGGAATTAAGTATAATGGTGGGAGAAAGCATTGCCATTACTTCTACAGTGCCTTTTCTTAGGGATAAATCTGATTTCAACCTCTAGGGCAGGGATTGATTGGTGGTCTGCATCCAATCCATGGAATCATTGGATCCAGCCTGCAGAGCTGGAAGGCTTTGGTAGCTTTCCAGTAGCAGGGGGCTTTGACTATTCTGTGGTTGGGAGAAGCAGCAAGCAGCAGCTGTGGTCTGGTCCCAGTGCCAGACCACCTCAGACCTGAGCTGGGTCATTTTGGACCGCAGCTTTAAAAAAAAAAAAGTTGCTGGCTACTGCTCTTGGGGATAGCCCTTTAATCAAAAGCCTTATATAGAATTTAATAAGTGAAACCCTTATGATTCTCAATTATTCTAAAAATCTATAGAATTCAATAAAGAATTATGTCTGCTGTATAGATGCTGTGAGCCATCCAATAGCAGGCATTTAATTCTATCAGATGATATAATTATCAATTAAATTCTCAAGGAAGGCTAAGAAGCTTGTACAAATGCAATAGTTGGCTCTATAAATTTTCCATGAGGGTGGATTTGACATTTTTCACTTTTAAAATCAACATAAGTTTAATGAAAGCTGGAGGAAGTTGAAGGATGTCAATTTGCTATGAAGAATTTCAGAAGCAGAAACATTTTGGCTGTCATGGGACTGTCCATAGCAATAATCTGTCCAGGACAACTGCCCCATGAATGTTCTCCAGTAACCAACACTTTATTCTTCTGGATTTAAATCTATTCTTCAAGGTAGGCCTGTCCCATTTGAGTATCTCAAGGCCACAGGACCCCCAGCCACACTGCACTAGCTGTACAACCCTCCAGATTGCAGCTATGTGGGCTGATCTCTGTGTCACACCATGCATCAGAGGCCCTCCCCCCCTCATTCTCACCCCCTACTGCAATGCCCCCAGAAGAGCATTATCATTACCATTAGGGATAAATTGGCCCTGTCTATCATGCTGTGCCATGCCATGCTGTGCGGGTCCCCTGAGCCACTTGGCTGTGGGCTCCCTTAACCCTTTTAATTGTACAGCCCCACTCCATCTCACCCCATCTCCAGGGGTGGGGGCAGGCAACAGAAGCTGAAGAAGGGAGGAGGAGCCCAAAGACACCAGTAGCAGCTTGTGGGGTGGGAGGCAGGAAGCAGTCCCTAGGCCAGAAGTCCAGGGGACTGTAGGTTAACTCCTTAGGGACAGATGTGACCTGTGGGCCACCAACTGGACAGCCCTGCTCTCAGACAAAAAGAAAGTACAACCACAACCCCATACTGTTTGGTTCTCACGTTCTTTCTGCCCCAGTGTTGATGCCAATAGGCTTTTACTAAAGTGTCTACTTGAATCTGCAGCTCAGCCACCTGTTCTTGGAAGGAGACAAGTTCCTGCTGAAGGTGTGGCAGGAGAATCACATTCTGGTGTCTCAAAAGAACAATGAGCAGGTATCAGGAAATGCCATTTCAGACTAGAAAGTTACACAGAACATATATTACACTCCCCAGCCCTCAATAACACAGAGAGGGGCAGGGAAAAGATGCTTCAGCACATGCATGGAGGAAGAGAGATGACCTAGTTCCAAAGTTTGATGCACTTATATCAAGGGGAATCAGGTCTGAGGTCCCAGAGCTTGTTCTTTTATTTTGAAGGAGTTCCAAAGTACATGGCAGAGCACCTCTACCAAGGACCACAAAGTTAGTAGTCTACATAAAGTCTTCCCTTATGCCCCAGTCCTCTCCCACACCATCTTCTTCACTGCAGATTCATGGAAAGAGCTGTCTACAGAGAAAGCATAAGTCTCCTTTATCCTAGGCTATCAATCAGGTATCTGAAATAAGGAGCCCTACGTTTGTGTCCTCAGGATGCACTGGAGTATACTTACAGGGCACGTCTATATGAGATGCTACAGTGACATAGTTTGTTGGTACAGTGATGTGGTGTCAGAGGACACTAACCATGGTGCCGCTGCTTTGGCAAGTACTAAATGACCATGCAGTACCAACTGTGCAGTGGGGTGCACATGTAGATGCGCCCACTGAATCTCTCTTACCCCTCTGCAGCAGCACAATGGTGCCACAATCAAGTCTCAAATCAAGAAACACAAACTGAACGGAGGTGACCTCAGCCAGAGATCATCTCTCCCTGGGCCATACAAAAACAGCTGAGCAAGAGATCTTAACCAGTAGCAGTAAGCAAAGCCCTTCAAGGAATCCCTTTTACCTCAGCTTCAACTGCATCTGCTGTTTGCTGGCCTCTAAGTGCAAGTGAAAGCCATGCCCAATTGCTATTAAAGAAATAGAAGCTAGGTTAGTGGTTTCCTGTCTGTCAGCAGGTAGATATGTAGTATACAGGTATGTAGCTGCGCAAACTATTGCTCATGTTCTAAATTTATGAATTACAACATTAAAATAATCTTTGTTTTAGATGTATAAGAGTGTTCTGAAATGTATCTGAGACAGTGCACAAAATTTTCAATTTTTTCTTTTACAGCAAACCAAAAAAAAAAAAATTACATCAGCCCCTAAAGTCATATTAATCTATTAAAGAAGTACACCCATAAATGTAAAAAAGGATTTAAAATTAAAATGAAGCCATAGTTGCCCAGACCAAGAATTTTGGGGATGATATTCACCAGAGATAAATCATTCAGTCTTGACACAGCCCAGCTCACAACTTGTGACAAAACTAGAGCACATTTTTTAGCAGTATATCCAGTCTTGAATTAAAGACTTCAGATAATGAAGAAGAATACATAACGCACCTCAGCAAATTGTTTAAAAAAATAATTATTCTGGCTGTTAAAAAAAATGCATGCCTCATTTCTAGCCTGAGTTTGTCAGCTTCCAGCCTCTGGGTCCTGTTACAACTGCCTGCTAAATTAAAGAAACTTCTACTGTTAGAAGCCGTCTCCATATTACACTTACTTATAAATAGATCATGGTTAAGCCAACTCCTGATGTTCACTTTGATAAATAAATAGACTAGGCTTTTCAAGTCATTCACTATAAGGCTAGTTTTCTGAATTTAAAACCAGTCCTGTAGTTCATTGGAGACCCTTATCCCCTGTAACTCATTGGAGACCCTTACTCTCTAAATCCCTTTTTTGGAAGTGCAGAAATCAGAAATAGATATAGTATTCCAACAATAGCCTCACCAATGCTTAATGTAGAAATAATCTCTCAGGTGTCACTTTATATTCCCCTACTTATAAATCCAGACCCAGTGAAGTGCAATGCACATTTATCCTGTCCCCCATGTTAACTGTCTTTTTTCAAAGCATCACACAAAGCTGCATGCACTTGGTTAGTTATATGGCCTTGTACACATGGGTGACTGGTGCCTCCTGAGTCTGGAGGGGCACCAGATTGCTGACGGAGGGGACCCCCAGCAGCCGATCTCCAAGCCAGCAGAGAAACCAGAAGTGTGAACTTCCGCTGGCTGGCGCTTCCAGGGGATACATGGCCGAACTCAGGGGGTGGGTGCACATGCACGCATGTGTACCCCCTACACATCACCAATGCTTGTACAGACATTTGGTTTCTCTTGGGAGAGAAACCACAAGTGTACAGATGTTCAGGCTTTTTCTCCCAGAATTTTCTCCTGGGATAGCATATGTCTGTACATGCTGTGACTTCTCTCAGAAAAGAACATAGTCCCCCAGCATCTCTTCCTCTCCACCCCCACCTGTGCCTCCCCAGGGATACAATTTGTCCCTTGCTGAACTCTGCTGCTCCAACAGGAAGCAGAACATGCCCCCTTTACAATTTCCACATTGTTCTACAAGAAGATGCAGGCTGAACATGGGCAGTCAGGGTCAGGCAATCAGGATTGCCTTATGCATTGCTGCCTTCTGTCACCAGGCAAACTAAGGGAGCCTGCAGAACACACTGAGATGCATGCACAGCTGGCGGTGCAGCATCAGCACTGCATGCTCCCCATTTTTCAGGGCCCTGGAATTTGAATGCCTGTAGACTCAGCTCTGGGTAAGTTTTTCTAGCAGGAGAATTCTCCCAGCTGATTTGAATGTTTGCAGAGCCCTAGTTTGCTTATTCAGATGTCATAATGACCTAAAATTACCAACACCAGTCAGCTGCCTGATCGACCAGATTTTAGTGGACAAATATTGCTATTAGAAAAAACAATCAACAAATATCCAAGAACTGTACTGACCAGGGAGGTTAACATATGCTCTCACTAGAAAAATCTATTATTTTACATAAGGGTTGAGGTTATTTAGAATGGCAATATAGATTCTAATATAGATGCTGCTGCATCTGCTTTACTTGTAAAGGGAAGACTGAATATCCTAGAAGTTCCCTCAACATCAATTTCAATAATCATAAATACACACACAGAGCACATGACATACAGCGTGTATGTGTGTGCATGCATAAGCTCTCTCTCTCTCTCACATGCCCACACCCACACACACGTAAAATGTTCAGACCTGCTCTCAGACTCTTAGCACTCACCAAAAAAGATGCCCAACAGGAATATTAGTGCCAAAAGAACAGCCATCTTCTTGAGTGGTATAGAGTGCTCCTCTGAGGGAAAAAAACAATCTTAAGTAGAAATCATTTCAATTACTTTTATACAATCTTTGTTCTTAAAACTGGAAACCAAAAATCATTAAAGGGCCAACAACAGAAGAATGTTCTCAGACTAACTGTGCAGGATATCATGCGGTTGCACAGGAAATCCATCATTTGTGTGAGAACAGAGCCTGGCTACCTTTCCAACTTTGGTCTGGTAGGTTGAGTGGCAGGAATAGATCTCACAATGCCTAGAGCTGCATAATAGTGTCTTCTGAAAGGAGGTACAGACCTTATGATGAGAGGCTGAGAGCCATGGGACTCTTCAGCCTGAAAAAGCGCAGGCTCGGGGCTGATCTGGTGGCCGCCTATAAGTTTATCAGGGGTGCTCACCAGGATCTGGGGGAACGTCTATTCACCACAGCGCCCCAGGGGATGACAAGGTCAAATGGTTACAAACTTCTTCATGACTGTTTCAGGCTGGACATAAGGAAGAACTTCTTTACAATCTGAGCCCCCAAGGTCTGGAATAGACTGCCACCAGGAGGTGGTTCAAGCACCTACTTTGAATGCCTTCAAGAGACATTTGGATGTTTATCTTGCTGGAATCCTATGACCCGTGCTGACTTCCTGCCCCTGGGGCAGGGGGCTGGACTTGATGATCTTCCGAGGTCCCTTCCAGCCCTAATGTATATGAAATCTATAATACACCTTAAATCTAGCTAATGAGCATTAAATGTGCAGGTGTAGGCACGCCCAATTAGTAGCAATGGAATTACTCCCGACTTACATCATGTTAACTGAGATGGGAATGAAGCCCTAGACAGCAAACTAAAATAAAATAAAGTGCTATATCAAGCCCTCAACACTGTCTTTCACTGGAGGGCTTGATATAAGAGAAAAAAACAATTTCTGAAGTCAGTAGGCTTAATGTTTAAATCTTGCTCAGACTAGTTAACTTTGCACTTCAGTGCTTTTGAAAAATAAGAAATACCATTCTGAAACAGGCGAATAGTCAATCTAGTCCAATGTACCTAGCAGGGTCTGCCTCTGATTCTGGATCACCAGAGGGCTGCTGGAAGTCTCTAGTGATGTGCTGATTTCAGGACCATGTTGGCTGTTTTCTTCATGCAAGTCTGAACCTGTCAGTTACAGAAATGTCACTTCAATAACACTAATGAAGCGGGGAATGGATTTTCAATGAAAGGTTCCTTTAAGAGCAAGATACATATATTATTGATCTGTACTCTGAAATGCCTGGGATATATTGGGCACTATTTCATAGTGATAATAAAAATAATAATGAAAAATAAGCAGGGAAATGTCAAGGTCCTTGGGGTTATCTACTGCTAGGTATAAAATCCAAGAGGCAATATAAAGGGTTAGAAACTCCAACTGCAATACTACTGTATTTACCCAAATTCAAGAGGACTCCGAATTTAAGATGACCCCCAATAATTAGATTCTAGACATAAAAGAAATGTATATTTTTTTATAATTTTCCATGTATAGAATCTAATTACTGGAGTGTTGTCTTAAATATGTCCCCCTCACTGCTGTAGGAGGGAAAGCAGTGGCAGGGTATCAGGTAGGCGGGGGACGACATATAGAGAGTGGGAGCAGAACTAGGGGACAGGCCGACTTCCCCTTTCCCCTTGGCCCCACCCTCCACCAACATGCCCTCCTGCTGCCTGCCCTTCCTGTGCCTGCATGTCTCAGTACCGCCCCCCCCCCCCCCCCGCCAGTGCCTGCACTCCCTTCCATCCTGCTGCTTTACCCCCTGGTGTGCCTGCACCTTCCTCCTGCTATGCCTACCCTTCTTCTTAGTTCCCCTCAACCCCTCCACAGTCTGGAGCATAGAACACAGGGTTGCCCCAGCCCCAGCCTGGTAGCCACTGTTGCAGAAGCAACAGTTCTGGATGGGTCCCAAAGCTGAAACCCAGGACTGGGCTAAAGCTGCTGCCACCACTGTTACCAGGCCAAGCTGGAGCTGAAGCAACCCCATGCTCCATGCCCCAGGCTGGAGCAGGGCCAGAGCTAGAGAATAAGTGATGGCAGTGGCTGGGGGAGGGGAAACAGCAGTGCAGGGGAGGGGGAGGCTGTGGTGGGGCAGGGAGCATCTGTGGCTTCAACCCTAACCCCAGGATGGGATCAGAGTTGGAGCTGCAGCAGCCGCCCAACCCTCCGCAACCTTGTACTTAAATCGAAGATGAGGGGCTTTGCTCCCATGTTAAATGGGAGGGTAAATTCATCTGGAATTTAAGTAAATAAAGGTAATCTACGCTCCTCCGTGCATATTTATAGCCAGAAAGAGGTTTTCAAAGAATGTTTTTTTTCCTTCTGAAGCATTTTTGTTTAGACCCAACAGACATGCCATGCAGATTCAACAGCTGTTAGAGCTGTATCTAGAAAATGATTCCATTTGCCAGTATAGTTGGCAAAAACTGTCTCTCATTCTGTGATATAAGAGCACTGGCATTGGTGACGAATGGCACACTGAATTTAACAGGAAATACTGGCCAATTAGGCTTTTTCCCTAATGAAAGTCCACACACATCAGAAAAATCTCACTTCATTAATTCATCTTGCTTTCCAAACAGGACACCCCTTCTCCAGCTCTGTATTTTCTGTGCCCCTCTGATGTCCTCAGGAAAAGAAACAGTAGCATTGGTCTATCCACCCTGCTCCCTTACTTGTGTTACCCACATTTCTTGACAGCAATTTAAGAGGGCAGGTTCTGGAAACTAGCTCTCCTATAGTTTGTATAAGCTAGTAGGCCTGTGCAAAGCAGCAAGTATTTGCTTCAGATTCAGATTTGGCCAATTCAGAGGGACAGTGATTTGATTTGGTGATTCAAATCTCTGTCCTAATTTGATTTGGTCGATTCAGAGATTCGGTCATAGATTATAATGGGGAATCACTAACATACCTATAACTTTGTCATTTTTTTTTTCAGGGATGGTAGCCCCTTCTATGGGCATGAAGCCTGCCAAGTTTCAGGGAGACAGGTGCAGGGGTTTCTGTGAAAATGCACCTCCAACTGTTGAAAGCAAAACTGATATCATAGTTTTATAGTTTCATAGTAGCTAAGGTCAGGAGGGACCTGAATAGATCATCTAGCCTGCCCCCCAGCCACAGGCAGGAATGAATGCTGGGTTCACAAAACCCCAGACAGGTGATCATCTAACCGCTTTTTGAATTTGCCCAAGATAGGGGTGAGGACCACTTCCCTAGGAAGCTGGTTCCAGATTCTGGCCACCCTAAGTGTAAAATATTGCCTCCTGATCTCTAATCTAAACCTATTCTCCATCTGCTTATTACCATTGTTCCTTATCACCCCAGGTGGTGCTGGGGAGAAAAGGGCTCTTCCTATTTGCTGATGATCTCCCCTGATGAGTGTGTAGGCAGCCACCAGGTCCCCCCTCAGCCTCCTCTTGCCGAGGTTCAGGTCCTTCAGTCTCTCCTCATAGGGCCTGTCCTGCTGCCCTCTCACCAAGCGGGTGGCCCTCCTCTGAACTCTCTCCAGGCTGGCCACACCCTTTTTAAAGTGTGGCGCCCAGTACTGGATGCAGTACTCCAATTGCGGCCTGACCAGAGTCGCATAAAGGGGGAGTATCACCGGCTTAAGATGCACCTTTGGATGCAAGACAAGGTATGGCTGGCCTTGCTGGCTGCAGTCTGGCATTGGCAGCTCATGTTCATCTTGGAGTCAATAATGACTCCAAGATCCCTTTCCACCTCTGTGCTTTCAAGAGGGGAACTCCCCAGCCTGCATGTATGCTGTGGATTCCTTCTCCCAAGGTGTAGCACCCTGCATTTGTCTACGTTGAACCCCATCCTATTCTCATCTGCCCACTTTTGTAGTCTGTCTAAATCTAGTTGCACTTACTCTTCAAGTGTGCCCACCTTGCCCCACATCTTAGTGTCATCAGAAAACTTAGACAATGTACTTTCAACCCACTCATCCAAGTCACTGATGAAGATGTTAAAGAGTGCAGGCCTGAGGACTGAGCCCTGGGGGACCCCACTGCTCACATCTCGCCAGACTGAGTACGACGCATCCACCACTACTCTCTGGGTGCACCCCATCAGCCAGTTTTTTACCCATCCAACTCTGTAGGCATCAATGCCACAGTTGTTTAATTTATTGATGAGGATAGGGTGAGAGACAGTGTCAAAGGCCTTCTTAAAGTCTAGAAAGACTACGTCCATGGTGACATCATTATCCAAGGATTTAGTTACCTGGTCATAAAAGGCAATCAGGTTGGTCAAGCAGAACCTGCCTTTCACTTGTATCACTTGTGCGTGTGAGGAAAGATCACAGTCACTGGCCAGCTACAGATGTCAATATCAGAGCAGTCTTTCCCCCACCTCTCAGCCTTTTCCATATATGGAAGATCATCCCATCCCTCTCCCTCTTCTCAGTTTGTTTGCTGCAAGCTTTCTGAATCTCTGAATCTCTCCAAATTGATTCAGATGCTTCTAATTCAATTTGGACTTTTAATGGATCTCCCAATTTGATTCAGATTGGGAGATTTGGCCACCGAATCAGGCCGAATCTCCTCGGAATCGGATTGGCTACTGAAGCTTTGCACAGCCCTACAAGCTAGGGAAAATTCAGTTGCAACCTAATTTTTTAAGCTAGCTGATCCTTAAAGTTACATTCTTGGAACCAGCAGGAAACAGTCTGACACTTCAGGTAATTCCTGCTTGTCATTCACAATACCCTTTTTGCAGTACACCAGAAAAAGAGTTAAAGTTATGTACAAACTAGGCAGTTAGGCTCCATTTGGTCTTCTGCTCCAGTGAAGTGTGCATCACTGTCACTATGTAGGGAGCTCTTCTGCCAAGGGGTGCACTTTTGTTTTGTCTGAGTAGCATTAGAAGTGTGCTTACTCTTCCAGGCTCTCTTGAAGACTCTAGGGGAAAAAATGGAAATCATGAGAAAAGGGATCTACTGCAGGAAAAGTCTGCACTGTGAAGTGTACCTTGAAAAAGATTGCATTTCTAGTCTGGGAAGGGCATGACCACACACAGTCACATTCCTCAGGGAAACCATATAACTAATATCCCTTTTACACAAGTATTTCTGAGTGTCCCAACTGAATTGCAGAGTCCACCTAGCTTGAAGTAGAAGTTCTAGCTCATCCCAGTTAAGGCATTCCTTCTAAATGGTGTAGAACATCAGGTGCATACTAGTTTTCCATGAGAGAGAACGGCATGGTGCATAGCCATTACTTATATCTTGCTCAGTGGTAAATTTTATGCCCATAAATAAAAAGTCTTCAGGTCTATAGTGGTTTATCATTGGGCAAGTAGTAACTGAGGTACTACCATTAAAACCCTTGTTTAGGCATTAAACAAAAAAAAGTTGGAATATCTGAAAGTAATGCGTAGTAGTAAAGTAAACTACTGAAGTTAATCACTTTCTCTCCATTTCCAAAGGCATCTTCCCCAACAAGAACCTGAGGTGTGTTCTCCATTAAAAGGTTTTCATATGCATAGAAGCATCTGAAATAAGTAAAGACTCCCTCTTACACTGGATTTAATAGCAGTTCTCCCACTCTTTAGTATCAACACTCCCTTTTAGTAGCAGCTCTTAGGGCTGTACAAAATTTCAGCCGCCATTTCATTTTGTTTTAGATTTGGATGTTTTGACGGTCAAAACACTGAATCCACAATGAAACGTGGGACTCCAAAGCAGCTCTGAAACAAAATGGGCCATCAGAAATTATTCAGATGTTTCTGAAACATTTCAGATGTTTTGGAGCTGTTTTGGGGGCGGGCTTGCAGGGAAAGAAGGAAGGAGAGGAGGAAGAACAGCTCTGATATTGACATCTGTAGCTGGCCAGTGACAACGATGTGTCCCTGAGGTCTCTTCCAACCCCAGTGCTCTGGGGGAGGAACAAAGAAGCAGCATAAAAGGCTGTTTGTTAACTGAGTCTCTGCCATGTTGCAGCTGTGTCTGTCTCAGCAGGAGCAGCAGAGACTGAGAGCACTGCAGCACCATTCTGTAAGCTTGCAGCTTGGTAGTGCCTTGCTACTAAGTTGTAGCCATTTGCCAATCCTTTCCTATGTATTTACCCTTGCCTACCCTTCCCCAAAATCCTGTTATTTGTTCTTCTTATTCCCCCCCCTCCCCCCCTCCTAAAAAAAAGAAAGCAGTGCTTTGCCTGGAAAGCACTCAGTACACATACAATTAATTTTATGACACAGACACAGACATATATTTTTTTCCAGCACATTAAATATGAAGCGTGCTGGAAAGGCAGGTGGCAGGTCCTCTGGCCAGGGAGGGAGAGGGGGAGAGGGAGAGCTGTAAGTTCCCCCCCCCCTCCCCAATTTAGACGCAGCCTCTTCCCTAGCACTAGCAGGCATGAGGCTTCTGGTGCTGGTGGCAGCAAGGAGGTGGGACCAGTGCCTGCATCTGCACCCCCTCCA